AACAAAAGATGAATACATAAATTACCTTATCGTTCTCATCTGCGCTTGTTGTCAGAATCTGGAAGAAGTTACATAAAGCAGCAGTCTTTCTAAACGTCTCAGGTGATATACCATACTGTTACACAGGCAAATACACAGTTAACCAGCTCTACTTGGTGTTTAAATATATGGGCCTATTAAGAATGGCATAATACACACCCCTACAGTGGTAGTTCTGCAGCATTGAGTATAAAATATGAGATTATGAGGATCGGGGTTAAAACTGCACATCGCCATACCAAATACAGTAAGTCAATAGGGCCTGGAAATTTTGGTTATTAGGTACTAAGCTAACATCCTCAAAAAATTGAGCATAATTAGTTGAAAACAATTTAACAACACTGCATTCAGAAAAATTTATGCAATGGGAATGATATTTGCCCATGCTAGTTCTAATAAAACTTGTGGATTTTATCTTTAAGGAAATTAAGATCCTACGAATGGAACATCCAGTGCACCAGGCGTGGATTTTCAAGACTTGAGGAATGGAACTATTCTAAATCTGGATTTAAACTTTAAAATAAAAAATCAATCCTTAAGGACACTTCGAACAAGAAGATCTGGAATTTAGGAACTTCTGGGGTGTTGAAATATTTTAATTTAGCACACACATTGTGTAAAGCCATACCCAATCCAAATATATCCATATTCAATATAAGTAAGACAATCAATCCCCAAATCAAATTGTTATGTACTAAAACATAAGTGGGGGTTACAGACGTTTCTGTAGAACCAGCACATGCACTTAATCGCCCCTAATCAGGTTAAGGTAACATGAAACAAAAGATTCACATACATGATGGTTTTGCATCACAAGGCAATCTGTACTGAGCTTCTTTAGCAAATCTGGAGGAAACCTGCAGGACAAAATAAAAAGGAACTTGAATTCATAGCTCCAGTAACTAACATAATTAAAAATTCAAAATATTGTTAGGTTGGAAACAGTTTAAAGATACACATCCATTGAAAATTCGCAAAAGCCCTATAAAATGAAAACGTTATCCTTGTAGCAACTACACTAACTCCATCTCACGTTAAACCATAGATATCATGCTCTTACACAAGCATCCTAGGTCACTATGTTAATTTTACTGATGTTAAAAGAAAAGTGTTTCAGCAATTCATTAATAACATCTCAATAACACAGCTTTATTGATTGGAACAATGCGATAGACTCTTGAATGGTTATTTAATTATATAATCAAATCATGTATGAAACAATATAACTCAAAACTTTAAAGAACATCAACTAGCACAAAAAATAAACCTCAGCAAATGTTATTTCAATGTTCTCCACCATATTTACCTCTGAAATACAGTTCCTTCGAGATTAATGCTCCCCACAAATTGGAGCGTAGATGCTTGATCGGCAGCACTAAATTGCTCAAGAATATCATTGTCCTATTATCAACAAGAGAAAATGTCAATGTATCATAACCTACGAAAGGGAAAGATTCATATGGTATGTTAAAACCATGCAGATCTTATCATAGCATAGTTATACAACGTAAACTTCTAATGGCAGGATCTTGTGGAAAGTAGCATTTAGAGATTCCAAATTTCTCAAATAGAGAAGGTATAGGAAATGACTTGTAAGAAGGAGGTGACCGAGGGAGGTTTGGGCCTTCAAGCTGTTCATTTCAGAAATAATTAATCCACCAGGTTGTTCAAAAGGCCATTGAAATGAAGGAGTACCTTACTGATGATCATTGTCAAAAGTTCAAAACCTAAGCAGATAGCAACCAATGGAAAATGGTCTCCTGCATCGTTTTTCTCCAAAACTCTCTGCAAAAATCATACCAAAGAACAGTTGATTAGCAGAGACCAAGATATTGACAACAACAATCATACCGCTTCCTCAATCTATACAAGTTGAAATTTTAAATCAGTAACTTCACTAGGAAAGCTACAATCACTGAATAAATGTGAAATATGACCTTTTCAAATGCAGATGGGAAATAATTAACAGAAACTATCTGTAGTACATTTTCATAATAGAAATGTGTATGCTTATGTGTCCTCTATCGTGGCATCATTCAAAAGGACAAAGACAACCAAACTGCTGCACTTGCACTTCACTGTACATGAATAATTCACACACAGAAAAGGTAGCATGTCTTCATAGATGAAAGAAAGTCATTCACCTTAAACACAGTCCCTACAACATCAAAGTAGAGACCACTTTTAGCCCAGCCACCAGTGAAAAGCACTCCATTAACTAGACTGAGTTTCTGCAGAACGCAGCAAAACTCTATATCAGGAAAACAGCTGAAGATATTAAATTTAAAAAAAAAAAAAGCTTTAGAATCAGATTCTGGATAGGTTATTTCTGATAAAAAGCTAATAAACGTCTAATTTTCAACATCATCATCTTATGCTGCTTACATGCTACTTCAGCTCTACATGCTTCAATTTCAAAGGAACCATTTACCTTTCAAAGAAAGCACAGGAATGCCTTTGAGGACAAAAGCCCCACACTCTGCATAATTAACAAAGCTCAACTGAAAGAAGTGCAGTGACTGAAAGCTAAAGTATCAATATCAGAACTACACATTTCAAAATGGCAAGTTTCAACACCAAACATCTAATTATCCACAAAGCAAAAACCCCAGCTTAAAGAAAGAATATTAATAATCTTTATCAATCAGTAAACCCGGTATTGTAAATACTAACTTGTACTAGTAGAAATAGATTACAAAAGCAGCACTCTTGCTTGCGTCGACTAATATTATTCCAACTTCTTAAAACTTTGAAGTTTGAAGTACAAAAGCAAAAATAACGCCAAAACTATCTAACAAGAATCAAAATCAACCTCCCTTCTTTCTTGCCATTACCCCAAAAAAAAAAAAACGACTTTCCCAGGGGCACAAAAGAATTTAATTGAAAAACAGACGAAATGCTAGTGACTAAAGAGAATTACACATTCATCTTTAAGGCAAAGCAGGCAACAATTAGGTATAAATTACCATTTCGAGAACCTCAAGAGGTTCGTTATAGATGAGGGGAATAACTCTAGCCCCTGCGGATTCCACAAACTTAACGTAAGAAGCGGCAATGTAAGAAGCATTTGTGGCATTATTAAGCCGTCCTGAGGCTCCATCTCCGGGATGACTAAGAATTCCGATGACCGGACGATAGTTCAGCTTAGGGTCAGGAGCTGGACAACTCGGACTGAGTCGGGGCGTGTTAATAACAGTCCGATTCTCACTCGGTAAAAGAATACTCGTCGTCGTCGAGTCATCCGAAATGAGGTTATCATTAGCTGAAGCCGCTGCAGTGAGGTCCTTGGAGAGTGCGATTAAAAGAGGAATCCAGAGATAATTGAAGTTGAACATGTCGGAAGCAGAGGAGGCGGAGGAAGAAGCGGAGGAGAGCGGAGGGAGAGTGGGAGCGGGAGTGGAGGTGGAGGCGGAGGACTTAGTAGCGGAGGCAGGAGAAGACGGCGGAGGTGGAGGCATGTTTGCTAACGACGTCGTTAAGTTTAATCCGGAGCGATGATGATGATGATGCTGAGAAGGGGTCAAGGAAGGGATTGTTTGGTATTGACATGGGAAACTGCCAAGTTTTTAGAGAGAGGGTTTCGTTTTTGTTTTTTGTTACTTTTGTACTTGTTTTTCGGGTGCGGGAATGTGGAACGATCGATGGAGTGGATGGGAAATGTAGTGTATGGGTATACGGAAAATTATGGAGGCCGGTGGGTTGTGCTGTGGATGGGCCGGCGGGTGGTGACGAGGTGGGACTTTCGGCGTTTAGCGGAATTGGCAACGCAATTAGTGAGGAAAACAGCACACGTTTCGTGACTTTTATCGTACGAATGGACGATTTGTCCTGACTTTGGCGGTGCTGGTGGGGGACTTGGTGGCAATCATTCATGGGCATGATTTATTGGATTATTATGAGATCTTTGGAGGAGAATATAATGCTAAATTTGACATCTTATTCATTATTTAATTAATTGTTAGTGCGATTAAGGAAGTGTTTAATTATAAAATCTTCTACCACTTTGATATAAAAGACGAGTCTCTTTTTTTTTTTTTTTTTCCTTTTCTTTTGAAGCAGCAAATAGGGTTGTAAATGAATCAAGTCAAGTTTTAACTTAATCAAATCAAATCTCGACTTATTTTATCAAATTTGAGTTTGAATTCGATGAATTTTCAACTTAAAACTTAAGTTCAAACTTGACTTCAAATTCGAGCAAAATCATTCCCGAACTCAAGTTTAAAAAGATAATTATTTTACTTTTTAAAAAATAAATAAAATAGTAATTTTTTAAGAAATAATAAAATATTATATATATATATATATGTAATTCACTATTAAAATTATATATATAAAATCGAGACGACTCGAGAGTTAACGAATTGAGTATTTTTGAGTTCGAATTCGACACGAATTCAATATTGATTGGACTTGAGTCGAGCTTTGACTCGATCACGAGCAGCTAGACTATGAATCATTAGAAGCAACAAGATGAGTAACATCTGATGAAACTTAGAAGCGTCAAGCATTTAGCGAGCTTCGCAGATTAGTTCATACTAGTCCCGACGAAAACCAATAAAAGTCATTATCTCAACTTGTTAGTATCAGGCTTCAATACATTAAAGTTTGATGGAGTGGGAGGCAAACAATTTGCCACATTCAAAGTGGCTCTAGTTAAAAAATTCAGACAGATACATAATGCATCCCTTTGATCCAGTGATAGTTCAATCTCCTGTGAATTACTCTTGGATTTCTCAGGTTCACCCCTCCCTGTCAGTGTATGATAATATACTGTATTGACAGGAAAAAAAAAACTCTATGGTTGAATCATCGCATATGCATGATGCAGTCCATTTTCAAGAGGAACTGCTCTGTGATCCATCACACATTCCCAATTTCAAGGCCCAGGCCCATAGTCGTCCATTTCGATCCATAGATGAAAAAGTGAAAATTCGATTAAATCTCCCTAAAACCCTCTAATCTTCTACTTTTCCTATTCTTCTCAGTTCTCGGACAACCAGAGCAGAGAATGATCTTGCGCCAAATCCTCCGTTCCTATCATTCCGAAACGCTCCTTAAACTCGAAAACCATCCGCTGAACCCTTTTGCATCACCGCATTTGATCTCCCCCAGACCCTTTTCACTTTCGTCTTATTTCAAACCCCTAGAAGACGCAGAACCAATTAGCTCTGAGAATGCTGTTGGAGAAAATAAGAAATCAAGAAAAGCTTTGAATGTTTACTTCAAAGAAGCTGTTGGACTCTTAAAAAAGACCCCAGAAGATATTGGAACTGAAAGTGAAGGTGAAAATGGAGAGCTCAAGAAGAGATTGAAGAAATTGGAGGAGGAATTGAGGGGCTTGAAGCAGAAAAAGAAGGATGAGAAGGAGAATTTGAAGAATAAGGAGCACAAGAAGAAAGAGGGGGTGCATAAGAATGAAGGGTTGTCAAACTACGAGGAAAAATCTGGGGGTTCATCTTTATCATCGTTGTTCGCTAATAAGTTTGGGAGGGATGATGGAAAAAAGATGAAGGATTTGAAAGAATTGAGAATGGAGGATCCGGAGGTTTATAAGGAGCTTTCTCCTGACATGGAAATGTTTGTGACGCATTTATACAATAATGGGTACTTTAAGGATTCGAATTTCTTGCCTAGGAATAGGCTTGATATTAGTTGTTTCGAGAATAGTTATGCTCGAGATTTTATCAAGTTTGCAGCTGAGCAGTTTGGCATGGATAATCAGGAGATTGCAAAGTAAGGATTTTTATTCTTGTCACAAGGCAGAAAGATAATTGGATCGTTTCTTGGCATCCTAGATTGTCTGTGAATTCCTTGCATTTGTATACTCAAGCACTAATACACACACACAGAGATAGATTAAGTGGTTGATTTTAGATATCAGATGTGATCTTTTGAATTCTTCGATCTGATTATGAGAATAATAGGATGAGTTTTCCAGTAATATGCTTTGTCCAGTATACTTAGATTATAATTTGCGACAGTGAGTTACTTGTAGTCATGTTAATGCAATTGTAGGAGTGGTATTTTTCGCATGGACTAATGAATGTTCTGCTTTCTTTAGGTTATTTATTTGAATGTATTAACTATTAAGAGGGAAATAGAAAAAAGATACTAACTTTTTATCTCACACTTAGGATTAGCTATACAACGCTTAAGAATTGATATCCAATGGAACCTTGCCTTCTTCAAGCCTGTGGACAAGAAGGTTGCCTATTTCATTTCTTGACATCTTCCTCTTCCCTCGGTTCCAATTTTTTATGCCTGAACTGTAATGAGGGCGTGGAAATACTGCCCTGTTCTTTTTTTCTTTTCTTTTTTTGTGAACAACAAATGTTTTGATGAAATTCTGTTGCTAGGTTACCAGCTTGTGTCCCTTCATTTTTTGGGCTTTTGCCTACTACTGCCCTGCCATTAATCCTATCTGTCCTGTTTGCAACTAATCTTTGAGAAAGCAAAAAGAGAAAAATGTAAATAGAAGTGAGTTAGCAAGCAAACAAGGGGATGGACATCAGGCTTTTTATTTTCAAATCAAGTAGAGTGGTTAGGGACATTGTTGCAAGAACATTGAGGGTGCATTGAAATTCATTGCAAATTCAATTATGTGCTACATGTGAAGATCACACAATTTAATGGCCATTTGTGCTCAAGTCTGCAGTTATGCTTGACTATTTTCATTTTAACAAGTCATTGCATTCAAAAACAGAATAAAATCATCAAGTCAGGCGACGTGGTGACTGAGGGGGAGAAATTTTTTGTGACCTTGACGTGAAGCAACAAGTAACCTTTTTAAGTTGTGCTCAATATTTGTAGTATTACAGAGTGGAGTAGATTGCTAAATCACCGGTGCAATTCTCTGTATGTTGCATATTCCCCTGAATAGCAGATTTGGAGTGAAACAGTCTACCATTGCTTGGTCTTTCTAATAAGTTCTTGTTCTAGCTTGTTCTGAATTATATCGACACAGTTGAGTTATGATACAAGTTTTATACCTCACAGAGATTAGTGAAGCATTTTCAACGTATTGAGTTTCCTAGCTTGCATCTTCTCCATCTTAATCTTGTGAATTGGTTTCTCAGATGGATGTCAGGCAGCGACTTGAAAAAGCTGGCCCTTTTCGGTTGCCCTTCTCCTGGTAAGAAGATTGTCTTTTCCGCTAAAAGATTGCGCAGATTCTTCAAAATTCAGGAAAACACTGTGAGTCGATCTTCTTTTGTACTTTGTTTTGTAAACCATTTAAATTTTATGAAGGCATATTCCTCTTCTTTCTTGTTTCTACCTCACTGTTTGGCTTCTCAAGTATCATGTGCTTGTCTCAGGTTTGTGACAAATGCGTGTTAAAACAATCATGCAAGTTTGTTAATCAGAGTATTTGGAGAAGCAATGACAACAATCTAGATATGGCGGTTGTAATGAGGATCATTACCTCGTATGCTTTGGAGTCAGGTCCTCCACAATTGGTGGTGCCTGATGAAATAAAAGCTACTGTCAGGCGATTGCTGAAGGAGGCTGTAAACCTTAGTCAAACTGTTGTGTCTTAGAGGCCTTTTTTCCAGAACCCATATCTGCACAAGCCTTTCAAGCAGCTCTGATAATTGTATAGGATACTAAACTAATCTCACAGACCTTGTTGCACCAGGAAGCATATCTGGTCATGTACAAGCATGCCTTCAGAGCAACTAAAGTGCCAAGTTCATGGATTTATTAGAGTGTATGCTGAAACCTTGAACTAATTTTATGTTCTAATCAAATTTCTCGACTATAGAAGGTTTTTGACTCGTTACCATTCGCCACCTCTTTTCCGAACTTTTCAAGAAAAGGGTAAAAATGATTTGAGGAGCGCACTTCAGTAGTGGCAATGGACCCTACGACGTTGGTTTATTATGTCCTGTCCCCTTGACCACTTCCTTGCAATTGGGAACTCGAGCATTTTTTTACAGGTAATATGATTGACCAGGGTTTATATACAAAGAACAGCCTAAATGGTCTTATTGAGTTTTAAAGGGGCGACTCTGGAGACCAAAAGAATATTGAGTTGGTGACAAGTTCAACTTATGATCCAAATCCAAGGTTAGTGCGATAAGCGTAAGTGGGTTATTTCGGTGGAAGAACAGCAACAGGTGCAACCTGCATGATTATTATCAAATGCTGCCATGATTATTGTTGTTGTTATGATTAGGATTGGAGGCAATTGGCAGTGCCTTGTGGGTGTCGGGCATATCAGTCTATAACCTGAGCCCAGTTCGCCCTTTTTGGTCCGGGTCCCTCACTCTGTGATGCTCTGGTACGAAAATGGCCTCTCAATGAGACTACCTAGCAAGCAGTACAGTCGTGTTGTGTAATTCTTCTATTTTATAATGAGTTAATCTTAACGTCTAGCCAACCAACACTAATAATATACCGCGCGTTAGTGTATATAAAAATTAATTTTTTTTAATAATAGAATTCACATGCTTTTCACAAAATTTTTACACTGCTTCTAATGTTAGGTAAAAGATATGGGAAGCCTCTAAACTATTGCCGTTGTACACTTTAAGAACTTTTAGTAATTTTAGGCAAAAATTTGATCGGATTTAAAGGGCATTTTTGTTCATTCAAATTAAACCTTCGGGACCAGCATCAGAAACCCTCAAAAGAGGTAACCCTTCACTTTTTTCTTTTTCACAGGATTTGTTCAAAAGCCAATCGAAAATAAAATTTAGATGAGGGATCAAAAGTAAACAACGACAATAATTTAGGGGTTCCCAGGTTTTTTACTCTCTAATGTTTCACTTGTGATTTCCTCATTTTCACTGGTCAGAACGACCTGAACCTTTCCCCAATTCAGCTTTTACCTCAAAAAAAACAAAAGCAACTAATTTGATAGTATTTGGAGTTTCTTCTCAAATCCTCTTTTGACCATTTCACCTCTTCTTATTATTCAATCCCACCCGTTAAAACAAGTCAACATAAAGCATTATATTTTTGTCTTTCCTATCTGGGCTGTATGTATGATAATTTAGCGCAAATTATAATCAAATTGCAGATACTCGCAAATAATCACATATTCTCTTGTCCAATGATCTACTGAATAGTATGGTTCAATTGGAGCAGTCTAAAACCGCAGACAGAGTTCATTATACTATCATTGCCTAATACGAAACTGTTAAGCTGTTACATGGGGTGGGTGATGATAGGTGAAATCAATCAGCTCGACATGGTATTGGTAGCTTTGTCCGGAATTATTACGACACTTGGTCCTCCTCTCTCATTTCATTTCAGCAATTTAGAAAAGTAATGGGCCTTTTATCCACAAACGAAAAAAAAAAAAACTGAGGCCATGAGTGATGGGCCATTGCCCCATGCGGGAGTCACGTGAATTTGCAGAACCGCATGCCGTCCTAGGAAGCGGTCGGCGCAACCCCCTTGCCTCCGCTGTCCGGTGTCCTTTTCAGGCCATGTATGACACACATCTTGGTGAGTTGGTGTAGAACGACAATTGGAAATAATTATTTGACAGAGAAATGATATGAATATGTTGAATATTCGAATTAGAGTTTGTTTGGATAGTTAATTATTTGTATAGATTTATTTATTTGTATTATAATTATATTTTTTTAATTATCTTTTTATCTTATCTTATATATTACATAAAAAAAATGAGATAGTAGTAGTATTTTTTCAAAAAAGATCCCAAATAATCTATTATCTAAACACACTCATCTTTTCAATTACTACACGGTTAAGTACTGCAAAATGTAAGTGATGATTCAAATTTAACCTTAATATCAGGAGTATTACCCCAATTATTTGAAACTAGTAGGAAGACAAGATTCTAATAAGTGTTAATTTCAAGTTTATTGGCTTGCTTTTCATTTCAAAATCAAAATTTAAATGCACACATACCGTCTCTTTTGTTTTTGTTTTTTTTTTAGTTTTTCACCTCAAAAGAAAACGTAAAAGTAGGTGCTAAAAATAAATTGAGTGTACAAAATAAAGAACTTTTTTACACTCAGAAAGTTAAATAATGGTATTTAGATTTTAGAATGATATATAAACGTGGATAAGATTTAAATCTAATGGTCCAGGTTGAAGTCCCGGTAATCTTTGAATTCAGTTTAATTATTCCTTTGAATAAATATGTTCATCGAGAAAAAACGTCAGTAGCAGTAGGATATACCTTTGGAATAAACATATTATTTAGATATAGATATTGATTTGAATGATTCAATTCAATGACACTGGAAACTGTTTATTAAAATTAAAATTGATGCAATCTTTAATATAACCGAAGCAAAAAATATATATATTTTTTGTTAATTTTATAGTAAAAAAAAAAAGGGGGAGATTTTTTAACAAGACTAATAAGATAATAATCGAGGCTTGAGGTACCATTTATTTTGCACCTCCGCCGCGTAGTTATCAAACCCTATGCCGGAGGCTATTGCCTACTTCACTCTCACCATCTCTGCTAAAGATCCAGTGGAGCAGAGAAATTGATTGTCTTTGCAAACACGTGCGCCGACCTTTGCCACGTGACACTTTTTTTTTTTTTTTTCCTTGTTTTATGTACTAATCTACAAGTAGGAGTATTTATTTTCTCCGTGGAGAGAGAGACAGAACGGTTACGAGAAAAGCCACAGCATGGTGCCAAGTGGGGATCTTACGTCACCTGAAGTCAGCGAGTCACGCCTCCCGCAGGCCGCAAGTGGTCCCGTTCATCCACTTACCCATGTCGACGTCTGCCTAATTGTTGCTTTCATGTTTATTTTGGATTGGGGACAACAACAAAAAATAAAATCTAAACTCAGAAAAGGAGAAGTTCATCGGATGCCTCCTAAAATGCCATTTTTGATGGTAGATAAATTATTGCTCCTTTTTTGACTTCATCATACTCCATATAGTGCCTAGTCTCCACATTCTTCATTCTACCATCCAAGCGCTATTAAAGTTTCTCTCTCTCTCATTTTTTTCCCTACTTTACACAAACTACTAATTTGCATATGCATAATGAGGATAAGATCCTACAAACACAAGCATGCATCATGAGAACAAGTATCAATATTGAATATGTATGCTTGGATAGTAGATTATTTAGGATAATTTTAAAAAATAAAATATTGTAACAAATTGAATATGTTTGGATAGCAAATTATTTGGAATAATTTTAAAAAGTAAAATAATGTAGCATTTTTCTTTTATGTGATGTATATGAGATAAAAAATAATTAAAAAATATATTTATCACGCACGCATATAATAAATTTGTACAAATAATCTATTATTCAAACAAACTCTAGTAACTGTTACGTTGGATTTTATCTCATCGATCGTTTATTTTATTGAATTTGAATTTTATTTCACAGGCTGGTTATTTTCCCAAACCCAACAGTAACTCTCATCTTTTTAACTTATCCTATTGTTGTAATTTACGGGACATTATTATTATATGAATAGACTGTGGATAATGGATGTAAAGTTCTTTAATGCATTATACTTGATGGTAAAAGAGCAAGTAAACACAATAGTGTCAATTGAAGAATTCAAATTGACCTGGACCACACCTTCACTGATATGTTTCATTTCAACGAAGAAATCAGAATTAAATTAATAACTCTGAATTTCAGATGTTTACCTCAAAAGCCAGCAACTCTTGAGCCCACCCAGGAAACTAATAATCTAACCCTTAACCCCCTTAAAGAATCGATGTGGGATTTGGTGTGAAAAGGGCAGGGAGGGCCTTTGCTACCAAAGGTGTCCTAACCCCCAATACTCTCGGAACTAATAACCTTCACTGATATGTTGCTGCTCAAAATTTGGCAAGATTTGATCTTACAGCAGCACAATTGCTATAGGTTGTTATACACTGTTTTCATGACTGTTATATGTGTCGTCTAGAAAAAAAAAAATACAAACATTTAACTTATGTAAGTTTACAAGACCAGACCTATTTAAATAACTTTCCATGTAATTTTATGCTTAGAAACACGCTAATCTCCTATATATACTTTTCAAAGCAGTAACTGGAGGTTGAACAATTAAAGGTCATCTACATGTGTACATGTGAAGCTTTGGTACGTGAAGTTGTAAACTTTATAAGGTTCTCCAAACACCCTTTAGCGTGCAATCTTACTATACAATCAATTAATAATGTTTAACCAACAAGTAAGTACCCCTAATTGTATAGTCCCAGATGATTTCAAACAAATAGTTTTAACTTTTGAGAGTGTTTGGATACCCAAATTATCTCAAATAATAATATTTCGCTTGTATCATAAATACATTTCCCAACTTACTTTTTTATATTCCCAATCACCTTTTTATCTCACATACATCACATCACAAAAAATATTACAGTAATTATTTCAAATAATACACTATCAAAGTAATTAAATGTCCGTTGTTCAATTGTTTTAACTTTTTTGCTTCACAAGATTAGATTGAAAGACTATATATATAAAATAAATACAAAGTAAAACCAATTTGTTCCTAAGAAAAAAAAAATTTTTGTTTTGCTCCAAACGTGGTCAATGAGAATCAAAGACTCACTGTGGTCAGAATTAGCCGCTGAAAAAGAGAAAAGAACACGAACTGAAAATGTGTGTTTCATTTCAAAGCATACCCCATTGGCATTATCAATAGACAATAGTCAAAAAAAAAAATCAAAGCACATGGATTGATTCATTCCATTCATTAGTCTCTTTTACACTTTTCAGCTTCCACATTTCGTCCGTCTTCCCATGATGGGAGGGCAGTAAAAGGGCACTTTCGCCAATCTATCCCCCTTTCAATCAAACACT